TACAAAAATACAAAAACTATGAAACACTCTTTTTTTTCTTCGTTTTTTTTTTATGAACGATTCTGATCTTGGCACGTGACTCTGATACCAGTTGTTGTATGTAATAATAATAATCATGAAAAAAAAAAAAACAAGAATCACATCTTTAAATTCATAGTTCAAGAGATGTACTTGCAAAAGATATCTTGAATGCAAATATTAACAGCAAGATCTTCATCTCCTTGCTCATCACAAAAGTATTAATCATCAATAGAGCAAGCCAATAAAAACATAAAAGGAGAGGAGAGTGGATCTAACCTCTTATATAAAAATTTACTGAACAGTCCTGTTAATGATTTTAATCCTAATTAGGGTTTATTTTTTGCCCACATACTTAAATTACCATATTACATATGATATAACCTTATATAACTAAGGTGTAAACGAGCCCAAGTTATCGCTCAACATATTAGACTTAATCATAGTATCATTATAAAATATACATATAAAACATAAAATTTATAATCAAATGGGAAACTCATATTTTGAAATTATTCTAACAAAATTAATCAAATTTTTGTTTTATTAATTATGTATAAGTGAAAAAAAAAAGAAAAAGAAAAAGGAAAGGCATCCCCTCATATAGGAAAAACAAGAAAAGGGTGTCATTCCTATTTTGAGTGCCTATGATGCGGCAGTAAGCATGACAACTAACATTTGCAGTCTTTTAGAATATGTGTACTGCTGTAAGCATTTTCAAACTCAACTATTCATATCTCATGTGTTGTCTCCAATAATTGCAAGACATTACAAAATACAAAAACTTATCCAAAATCAGACACGTGTCAACTAAAATCTGCAGTCTTACAAACGTGTTTGAATACAATTCCTTTTTAAATGGCTCCAATCACGAGGGTACTTATGTTTATTAGACAAGGGAACATTTGGAATCATTAGGTGAACTTAGCCTTTTCACTAGGCACTTAGGTAAAGTAAACACTCAACTAATTACGGGTTTGAAGTTAGTCGGATTGGGAAAGATAAATATTTTTGTCAACTGATGTTCGAATCGTTGAGGTTCTTTCGGCGCACAATTATTATAGATTTAGGATCACGCTACACATTTAAGAAAGGTTAAGGACACTCGATGCAAATTCTTCCTTTTTGAAGTTTGTCAAATTATGATTCAATGCTTAATTTCGATCAACTAAGGAGCTTTAGGAACTGTTTGCTAATATTTAAAGATTTGGGCGTAATTTGCATTGTTTTGAAAGATTTAGAACCTCCACAGCAAATTTCCTAATGGAAACATTTGGAATAATTAGGTGAACTTGCCCTTATCACTAATTAAAGTTAACACACAACTTATTATTATTATATAAATGGGTATCGCATCTTTTGAAAATGATATATTTGTGAGTTTTACAATTATTGATGTCCAATTTGGGTAAAGAAGAAGGATTGCCATAATTGATAGTGGACAGGGACGGATCCAGGATCGAGGTAAGGGGGGGCTAATACGTAAAAAAATTACACATGAATTTTTTTAAAAAAAAATTTGTACAAAAAATTTTTTTTTTTTCTAACCAAAATTTTTTTTTT